GCTCCATGAAAAGCCACCAAATCTCAGCCAATGGCTGTAGCTCAAAGCACATCATTCCCACAAATGATGAAGCCTCCACCTGCAGATGTTCACCCAACATTGCTTCGTCTCTAGATTCTAGATGCCTTTGAACCCCTTGACCACTCTGAAGCACCATTTGTGACTCTGGAACCACCTAGAGATTGAACAGCCATATATATATACATATATATATATATACCACTATAGGGTCCCAGTTCAGGTCTCTCAACCGCTCTTGGGCAGATTTGGATCGCCGCACCCAATAGACCTTGGCTCTGAAAGCCACGGCTCGCCCTTTTAGTGCATTCGAGATGCGGGTGGCGGTTTTCAGTCATAAGTTATAAGTAAGTTGTTAGATCTAAGAGGCCGGGCAATCGCAGGGGAGCAAAACCGCTGTACATAGTGGTGTGTTGATCCAAACCCATCTATTCCCATGTACGCCCGAACTAGGACACGCGGCGACAGGTGAATAATGCCAAGTCACGCTCAGGCGTATTCTGAAGACAAGGTGAGCTCCCACGTCGTCCTGGACAAAAGACGGGGCTCATACAGTATCAGCCTGCAATCGTCTGTAAACCAGGCTCCCCAAGAACTAATAGATTGGCACTTCGATGGCCCCCCAAAGTGTCCAAAAGCATTGAGAAGAGTTCTGCAAAAAATCTTGATATTTTCTGGGTTTGAGATCAAGTGGTGCAAGCCGCCGTGCTCCCAACAGCAAAAAGTACACCCTTCATGGCTGCCGCACGGGCGAAAGAAAACGACTCCATGCCAACCCTCGGAAGCTGGTGAGGCTGCCTGGTGTGCCTCAAGCTCCACCAGTGGACTTGGTGAGGCAAAACTTGCGATCCGTGCAGATCTGTAAGACATCCATGTTCGCCAAATCCCCCACCGATGGCAGCAAAGCAGACTCACCGATGGCAGGAAGACGCTCCTTCTTGCACCCGTTTTTTGGGTCCGTCTCCCTTCAGAGAAGCCTCCGAGTGCTGCCGTTGCTCGGTGCATTCCACCTGCGAGCAAGGCAGGCGAGCCTTGAAAAGCACGGAACCGTTCACAAAACGCAAACTGTGCGTCCCAGAACGTGGCATACCCGGCCTGCTGTCATTGGCCGATCAGACGGAACATGTGGAGAATGAAAGAATAGACCGTCCATGAATGCTCTCTCAACTCATCTCGACCCCATCAAACAGCGGGGGGGGCCAGAGTTCATGATGTGGACTTGAGCGCGGCCGAACGGAAGCCTCAATCCCCGGCCTCAAGGACAGGAAACCCAGTTGCATATGCAAACCATGAGGACAACGCGCCTGCAAGGTCTGGCGGTGCAAACCATCCGGCAAAGTTATTTGAGGGACCAAAAAGGTTCCAACAACAAACTCGAACGGAATCCCCTAAGTATCAGCTGGAACACGATACCTATTTAGCCGAACAACGGCACGGCTTCATCCTCTTGGCGGCACTGCTGCAGATTGGAAGAACACGCGATAGAAAAAAACAGGGGCGCCTTGCTGCACCGCCGCCCGGCTGCGGTGTTGCAGCTCCGCCATCATCTCCAGGACATCGGCGGCGAAAATCCGCAGGTGCTCGTGACGATGGGCCTGCAACACCTGGAGCTCCGGGTGCCGGTTTGCACCGACGCCACCGACGCGGTGTTCGGTCTGGCTTTGCGCCACCGAGCACGGTTCGGTTTGCAACCGCTGTTGCCTAACTGTTCCGTCTGGCGGGAAAAGAAGGAACACATGTCATCCCAAGCGATTCAAGCATTCCCCATACACTGAGTGTCCTTTGATGTTGTTGGGGACAATCCCTTCGTTGGTGGGTGAGAACCCAGTCCCTCATGGTACATGATTATGCCTTGAGAAGCCTACTTACATCACTTAGACCTTCCAAAAGAAAGTTTCGCCCGCACAGAAAGAGAAGGAAAAAGAACACAAAACAACACAGACGGAAGAAAAGAAAAAAAAAAGACCAGAAAAAACTTATTAAGAGAAACACCAGACCAAAAGGCACCTCAAAAAATTATCCCGGCAAGAGACCCCATTCAGTGTGTGTGAGTCTGTAAGCAGAAAGTCTAGAGATCTAGACGCATTGGGGTCCAGAGAGGTGATGGTGGTGATGAAGTGAAGGTGGGTGTGAGTGAGTGTGGGTGAGAGGGAGTGTGAGTGTGAGTGAGAGTGGGAGAGTGAGTGTGAGTGTGAGTGTGAGAGTGAGGGTGAGTGTGAGTGTGAGTGCAAGTGAGCGTGGGTGAGAGTGAAGGTGTGTTAGTGAGTGTGAGTGTGAGTGAAAGTGGGAGAGTGAGAGTGTGAGGGAATGTGAGTGTGAGTGAGAGTGGGAGACTGAGTGAGTGCGAGTGTGAGTGAGAGTGAGAGTGAGTGAGAGTGTGTGTGGGTGAGAGTGAGTGTGAGTGAGAGTGAGAGTGAGTGTGAGTGAGACTGAAGGTGGGTGAGTGTGAGTGTGAGGCCACGAAATCTGCACTTCAAGGTTCACCAAGTGCTGCACCTGCCACAAGATCTGCACTTCGAGGTTCACCTGAAGTGCTGTGCCTGCCACGAAATCTGCACGTCGAGGTCCACCAAACGCTCGCTCTGCCTGCCACGAACGAAATCTGCACTTCGAGGTTCACCAAGCGCTGCGCCTGCCACGAATCTGCACTTCGAGGTTCACAAAGCGCTGCACCTGTCACGAAATCTGCACTTCAAGGTTCACCAAGTGCTGCGCCTGCCACGAAATCTGCACTTCGAGGTTCACCAAGGCACCTGCCACGAAATTTGCACTTCAAGGTTTACCAAGCGCTGCGCCTGCCACGAAATCTGCACACGAGCCACATGTCAAAAAGTCACGATTCACTGCACCTGTCACGAAATCAAGTGCTGCGCCTGCCGCGAAAACTGTTCTTCGAAGTAAAACAGCTCCGATCCATCCCTTACACCTGTCACGAAAAGTCGACTTTGAAGCACCAAATAACACGAGGCTTCCCTTGCGCCTGCCACGAAAAGTGACCACCATGTGCGAAAATGCGCACGGCGCCACAACGAGAGCGCAGTCGTCAGAAGCACCCGCCGCTGGGGGCCTGCGCAGTCGAAATGCACTTCGAGGATTTCGAGGGGCATGAACGTACTGTAAACAGCAGCGAATTAGCCGCGCGCGCCCGTGCGCTTCAGCGATCTGAGCATCAGCTCCTTCTCCATTACCGTAAGAACCCCTCAGTGTGTCCACACTGTTTGGGGAAAAACCCAAGCCCCAGCATCCGAGTTGTTCGACGGAACCGAAGAACAAAGGACGCCCACCGCCGTCGCAGCACGCCTTGGAGATCTGCCGTCGGCCCTCGAACTTCACCTGGACGGCGAACGAGACTCAAGACTCCGGGGAGACTCGCCGATGAATGGAGCGCGAGTTGACGCGTGAGAGGTGCAACACCCACACGCTTCTTTTGGTTGGACCTGGTTTAGGTTTGGTCTGCGGTGAAAGGAGGTGGCTTTCACCGTTTTCGCCTCCTTTTCAGTCCCCAGGTTCACTTCTTTCTTCCAGACCGTCGATCAAACTGACAAATGCACTCGACGGTCAAACATGGCCGGAGGCTGGGATCCCAAAAGCAGAGGAGAAAACGACACCGTCGGTGTCAAAGAATTGTGATCCGGGCGAGTTGTTGTTGAAGTGTTCTTGTTTTGAAGCGTGAGTGAGCCTGTCATGAAAAAGGAATCCTACAAAAAAGGCCTGGGGCTTTGGTTTCACATATGTGTATATATATACAGTGTATATATATATATATAGTGTATATATATATATATACAGTGTATATATATATATATCCAGACCAAAGGAAATACTGTGTTCGCAGGCGGAAAAGTTCCCGGTCCTCTTCCAATCCAACATCCCAAAACCGTGCACCGCACCTCCACCACGCGCTCCTCACCCTCCAAAGCAGGCACCTCATTTTGGATGTTTCGAAGTGTTTTCCTCAAATAGAGGCTCCGTCCACAGAGCTGTTGCGGGCAAAATTCACTTGCAAGTAGGAACCAACTCTTAAAGTTTGCCCGTGTATGTCCCCTTCGTTGGGTGGATTGTAAAAGATAATCATACAAATGGTCATACACCCTGCCCATTCAAAGCCCCTACTACCTGACTCAGCAAGGACAATTTCCTCTGAACACTGAGTATGTTCTTCAGGTTCCCAAGACCCGCATGGTGGACGAGTGAAAAATAAACACCATTGGTGGATCATATACATAACGTTCGGGATGCGCAGTTGTTTCGGCTCATGTTGTCGATTAGATGTAAACCGTGTGACCCAAACCATGTGCATCTATTGGCCTGAACCAGAAGGAGTGGGAGAAAGTCACACCAGCTAAACAATCCTCAATGTTGGCAAGCCCCCCAAAGCAATCTGAACTCTGAACCAATTTGCCACACCAAGGTGCATGGCTCTGCGGGTCCATGGGGTCAGGAGCGGCTTTTGGCGCAGAAGAAACAATGTTGCGTGCAAAGTTGCATGTGTACAATTTTATTGGATCAACGCATAGTGGTCAACAACGTGAAGCTCAGATCTTTGTAGTGGGAAAATTGTGGAATTTGATATTAATCCTCCTGCAACCTAAAGGCAACGACTTAGAGACGGCCTTGCAAGACTGACGTCGATATTGGGCAATGATTGGGCAACGATGATCTAGCATGCAAGCTGTGCATTTCAGACTCCATGGATACACTGCCCCGCCTTCTATGTTTGAACTGAAGAGGTGACAAGTGACAAGCACGCAGCACTGCTGCCAACACTGTCAAGGTCTTCAAGTTCTGTGTTTCCCCAAGTCCAAAACGATTTGCGTGACCCAACCAAATGCAACACCTAGATATTTAACTGCCTGTCATCCGGCCAAAAAGGTCTGTTGAATTTCACAAGTGGACCGTCGCACTTTACCTTCGTACAGTGCCCTCTTAAGTTTTGGAAACGGTCAACTTAAGAAGCTGCAGCATCACGCTGGGGCATGGGCTTGCCAGAGCTTCGGCCACCAGTCCTGAACAAAAAGCAAAGCCCAATGCAACCAAACAAGCAACCAAACCCCATGAAACACAAAGAGCGCTCACCCAATTGACCCGCATGGACATTTTGACCACGGTGTGTCAGCACCCCTGCAGCCACCAAAGGTCCTGAACTTGCTGAAGTCTCAGGATGTGCGTTGCAACGCAGCTCACCTGGCAAAGCATGTGGGCTTCACATCATGCATGGCAGTGACACACCCTGCTGGCACACACTCAACCTTGCGCGCTTGCACCAACCTAGTGTGTACAAAGCCATCCTTTGCTGCGCTACACGCTTCAATCATTCTAGGGATCTCCTGCCGCCTGCCCTGGCTTCGGCCCCCACCTCACGTCTATTCTTCCAACTCGCTGCCACCATTTTGCTCACCTTGCTCACCTTTTCTTCACACCTCAACTCTGTGTGTTTGGCTAGCCTCGCAGGCAAGGCAAGGCAAGAGGTCCACTCCCCGCCACAACTACCGCTTTCTAGGGACGCCATTGTTCGACGGCAACGAACAATAGATTTGATCCGAAAGCAGTCGAAAAAGAACACTTAAGAATGGCTGGTTTGGGGTAGAGATCGTTGCAGTTACATGTTTCCTCCTGTTCTTCAACAACGGATTCTACACGGTTCAACACGCACGTCTGGTCAGCTCAGCCCAGGACTGCCAGTCACGCGCACAGCGAGAGCAGCAAAGCGTCCTGAAGGCAGCGCGAGCATGCTCCACTTGACTGTGGCTTTGTTGATAGTGTGCCTGCCTTGCCAATGCGCCGGGTACCTGAAGGTCACCATGAGGCACCGATGTGAATCAGCAACCATGCGACCATGCGATCAACTTGCAGAAGAGACAACATTTTAGAAGGAGTCTGCATCATACAGGTACGAACCATGCCATGTGAAAGGCAACCACGCAGCTGGAGGTCGTGGCCACACAAGACCCACATGGAGAAATGTCAGTGCTCAGAGAATGCTGTGTGACTTCTGCGCGTGATGATCGAAGAATTTTGTGCGACTGTCAACACAGCAGCCAAAGGCTTGAGCCCAGTCTGCATCAAGCTCACTGCATGGATGCCACACATGATGGAAGATCTGACAGAATAGGTCCACAGTGGAACCGGTAAACGTTGCAAGGCCTAAACCCAACCGGACTTTCAACGAGGGCGGTGGCCAGCCATGGAGATCATTATCATGGCCTTTGTGAAACAACTAGCCCGAGGCAGCTTCACCCTTCATCAATTGCAGCAGGCAGGCAACATTCCCATTGGCAAAGGCACTCCGAGGGCCTTGGTAAATGCTGTCAAAGTTGCCAAGGGTATGGGCTAGAGGTTCATTGCTTTGGTCGATCCCTGCGCTAGATGTGGACACTTGGACCGATCTGGCCTTCCACCTCCCCTGGAGAGATGGCACGAGAGCGGGTGGGTCAAGAGGACATTGGGACAGTGGCACGCAGTGCCACAAGAGGCTCAACAATGCAACGTCGAAAATCAAACCTTCGGGAAGCCCCCCAAGGCGAATGATACGGCGACCACAAATCACATCAGCGGGCCTATCAGGCAAGTCGATTCTACAAGACGTTGATGGATGGGAATGAGAAAAAGCACATGGCTTGAGCAGACTCAGTCTACAAATGATTAATTGTCGGTTGGGCGGAAGTTGACACAAGTGACAACTACTAGCACGGCAGCCCACTGCCAAGAGACACGGAGGGGAGGTCCAGCGCATCAGCATATAGCACACGCGCACGAGAAAAGCCTCAAAAAAATCCAATGAGCGATCGGAGGGCGAAAAACAACCCCCCACAGGCAACGGCAGTGACAACAACGACAGCGACAACGACCACGACGACAACAACAGCAACAACAACTACAACAACAACGACGACCACGACCACGACCACAACCACGACCACGACTACGACCACAACCGCAACCGCAACCACAAGCACAGCAGCAGCAACAACAACAATGAACAAAACAAAAACTGCAACCCCGTCACACCATATCTTCTTCCTTTGTCTCCACAAGGGTGTGGAAACAAAAAATGCAGCCCCGTCCCTGTTTCTTGACACACCCCCCCCGCAAACAACCAGCCAACAAGTACTTTTACCAGTAGAAACAAACACCAAAAACAACCACACTTAATAAACAAAACAATCACGGCGGGAACAACAAACACAGGACACAGAACAAGCCCCAAAAAACAAAGTAAAACAGAACCTACTACAAGAACCTCGGCCAAACACAACACAACCACAACCCCAGCCAGAACTTGACCAGCAAACATAACAAGAACAACCACAACAGGAACCGGGAGCACAACCACAACAATAACTAACAGCAACTCCACCAACAAAAGCAACTACAACAACAGCCGCACCAACATCCACAACGACAACCACAAACAACACCACAACCACTATCACCGCCACGGCAGGCAGAACAAACAAACAAAAACAAGCAAACCAAAAAAAAAGTACACGAAAACGACAACAAAAAAAACAACCAAAAACAAACAAACAAACAAACAAACAAACAAGTAGCGAAAAAACGAAAAGGTCTGAACTAACTAACCAAGTGTATTATAACTATACAACTAACTAACTAACTAACTAACTAAATAACTAACTAACTAGCTAGCTAACTAACTAACTAACTAACTAACTAAAACAACATAAACTAAACTAGACTAGACTAAACTAAACTAACCAACTCACTAAACTAACTAACTAACTAACTAGCTGACTAACTATCCAACAAACTAACCTAACTAACTAACTCACTCACTAGCTCACTAACTTACTAACTATCTAACTATACAACTAAAACTAACTAACCAACCAACTGACTAACTAAAAGACAAGAAAAACAAACAAACAAACAAAACGAAGACACGAAAAATCGAAACAAAATGAAACAAAGCAAAAAACAACAATCCCAAAAGCAATCGTCACCAAAACAACACCCACAACCACCCCAAAAGACCAAACAAAAACGACGGGCGCAACAAGCACAAGGAACAGAACAAACCCCACAAACAAAGTGAAGCAAAACCTCCTTCGAGAACCGCGGCCAAAAACAACACGACAACAACCGCAGCCAGAATTTTAGCAGCAGGCAGAACATGAAAAACCCCAACAAGAACCACAAGTGCAAGCAAGCATAACGACAACAACAACAACAACAAAAACAACAACTAACGGCAACAACGAAAGCAAGAAGAACAGCCGCACTAACAGCTACAACGACTACAAAACAAACAACCACAAACAGCACCGCGAAAACTACCACCACCACGGCAAACAAATAAACAAGCCCAACAAACAAAAGCAAACACACACAGCCACAAACAGGAGCCAACAAGCGAACAATAAAAAGACAAACGAGCGAGCACGCAAACAAAAAACAAACCAAACACACATCCATACATACATACATACATACATACATACATACATACATACACACATGCATACATACATACTAACATAACATAACTTAACATAACATAACATAACATAACGTAACATAACTAACATACATACATACATACATACACACGCACACAACAGACAACCCAAACCCAACAGAATCAAAAACCGAACCAAGCCCAACAAAACAAGCAGGAAAGCACAAACACACCACAACGCAACACACAAGCAAACTATCTCACTAGCAAAGCCAGAAAAGAACGAAACGAACAAACGAGTGAGCCCGCAACAAGCAACGACCAACAAACAAGCCACAACCAACACCAACACCACCACCACCACCACCACCAACAACAACAACAACAGCAGCCGGAACCAGAACCACAACTGCAAACACAACCAGAGCCACACCCACAGAAACAAGGACAACCACCGGAGCTACAACACACAGGAACAACAGCAACAAAAACAAAAACAACCACCACAACAACAAAGAAAACAACCACAGCTGCCACCAAAACGACAGCCACAACCACAGCAACAACCACAAACACAACAACAACCATCACCACCACCACCGCCGCCGCCACCACAAACACCAACACCAAGACCACCCGCCAACAACACCGCCACCACCACCACCTTCACCTTGACAACCACAATCAACCACCCAACCACCCAACCACCCAACCCAACCGAGCCCAACCCGACGCAACCCAAACAAAACCAACCCAACCCAACCCCAACATAAGCCAATCCAACCAGCCCAACCCAATCCAACCCAGCCACCCCACCCCAACCCAACCCAACCCAACCCAACCCACCAACAAACAAAAAACAAGCCACCAAAGGACCACAACCAAAAAGACATGCCAAAGCAAACCAAAGCAAAAGCAAAGCGAAAGCAAAAGCAAAGCAAAGCAACAAACAAACAAATTAACAAACAAAAAAAGAAACAAAACCAACCAGCCAACCAACCCACCCACCCGAACAAAACAAAACAAAATAAAACAAGCCAAAAAAAACAAAACAACCAAAACAAACTAAACAAAGCAAAACAACACAAAACCGACCAACAAACAAACAAACAAGGAAACAAACAAACAAACCAACCAACCAACCAAACCAAACCAAACCAAACCAACCCAACAAACAAACAATCAAACAAACAAACGAACGAACTAAATAGACAAACAAAACAAAACAAAACAGAACGAAACAAAACAAAACAAACAATAAAACAAACAAAACAAACAAACAAACGAACGAACGAAGGAACAAACAAACAAACCAACCAACCAACCAACAAACATACCAAAAAACAACCAACAAACAAACAAACCCAACCAACCCAACAAACAAACAAACAAACAAACACAACACAACACAACACAACACAACACAACACATTACAACACAACACAACACAACACAACACAACACAACACAACACAAACAACAAAAACAAACAACTCAACAACTATCAACAACCAACCACAAACAACCACCACCCACCCACCCACCCACCAACCAACCAACCCACCCACCCACCCACCCACTAACCACCCACACAACCAGCCCACCCACCCACCAACCAACCAGCCAGCCAGCCAGCCAACCAACCAACCACCGCCACCACCACCAACAACAACCACCACCACAAATAGCTCTCATCACCAAAACAGTCACCACAACCACAACGACAACAACCGTAACAACCACCACAACAAGCAAAACAATCACAACAGGCACAACAAACACAAGAAGCAGAACAAGCCCAACAAACAATGCAAAATCACACCTACCACAATAACCCCTCCGAAAGAAACAGCCAGGGCTTTAAGAGCAGGCAAGCCAAGCAAAACAAGATCAAAACGACAGGCACATTCACAACCCAAACCAGAAAAAGAACAAGAACAACGACGACGACGACGACGACAACAACAGCAACAGCAACAAACAACAAACAACAAGTAACCAACCAACAAGCAAACAACAAGCAGCAAGCAACAAACGGCAAACAACAAACCAACCAAACAACCAACCACCAAACAACCAACCACCAAACAACCAACCAAACAACCAACCAACCAAACAATCAAACAAACAAAAAAACAAAAATAAACAAGCCAACCAAAACCAACCAAATAAAAAAGGCAAACAAACAAACAAACAAACAACCAAACAACAAAAACAAGCACAACTCAACAGCAACAAACAACAAAAAACCACCACCACCACCCACCCACCCACCCACCCACCCACCCAACCCAACCCACCAACCAACCAACCAACCAACCAACGAACCCACCAACCAACCAACCAACCAACCAACCAACCCACCAACCCACCAACCCACCAACCCACCAACCCACAAACCGACCAACCAACCAACCACCCAGCCAGCCAGCCAACCAACCAACCAAACAAACAAACAAACAAACACAAACAAACAAACAAACAAACAAAAGCAAACAAGCAAGCAAGCAAACAAACAAAAAACAAGCAAACAAACAAAACAAACAAAAACAAATAAGCAAATACAAACAAAAAAGAACAAACAAACAAACAAACAAACAAGCAAACAAACAAACAAAGAAACAAACAAGCAAACAAAAACACAACAAATCCAACAAAACAAAACAAAACAAAACAACAAACAAACAAACAAACAAACAAGCAAGCAAACAAACAAACAAACAAAACAAACCAAACCAAACCAAACCAAAAAACAAACAAACAAACAAACAAACAAGACCAATCCAAACAAAACAAAAAAGAACAAAACCAACAAAGTACAAGCAGCAACAACAACAACAACAACAACCACAACCACAACAACCACAACCACCACCACCGCCACACCCACCACCACCGCCACAACCACAACCACATCCACAACCACAAACAGCAACAACAACAACCACCACCACAACCACAACAACAACCACCACGACCATGACCACGACCACGACCACGACCACGACCACGACCACGACCAGGACGACGATGACGACGACGACCACGACGACAACCACGACGACAACGACAACGACAACGACAACGACAACAGCCACCACAACCACAAACACAAGCACCACAAGCACAGCAAACTAAAAGCAAAGCAAAACCAAAATCAAACCAAGCAAGCAAGGAAACGAGCAACACTCCACAACTAACGAAGCTAGCAAAGAACAAGCCGAGGGCTGCTGCTGTCGTTGTCGTTGTCGTTGTTGTCGTTGTTGTTGTCTCCTGCTGCTGCTGCTGCTGCTGCTGCTGCTGTTGGTGCGGCCGTTGTTGTCGTTCTCGCTGTCGCTGCTGCTGCTGCTGGTGCTTTGTCTTGGTTGCTGTTGCTGCTTGTTGGTGTTGCTTGTGGTTGCTTTGCTGCTGGCTGCACGTTGCTTGCTTGTTGGTCGTTGCTGCCTGAGCAACGCCTGGAAGGGCAACAAAAAGGAAGTCAAGCACAAGACCAACAAAGCCCACCAGAAATAGGAAGTAAGAGAGAAGAAGGGCAAGGAGAGTAACAGGAAAAGCCAAAAAACATCAACAACCAACACGAAAAGCTTTAAAAACAAAAGCGGCAGCAAACATGAGACTGACAGCAACGACGGAAATTCAACCAATTCAGCCAAGGAACCAGAGCTCGCCTGCGCGGCAAATCGGACGTCGGACACAACAAAACGGAGCACCCTCATTTGTCCTTTGCTCACCCTTCTCTGTCAGTTCTGAGTTGAAACATGTCTGATGCCTGTGGTGGTCATGCATGGCCGAACAAGGCAGGGGCAGGGCAGCGTTAGTTTTTTATACGCGCATTGTGCACTTGACTTTACAGCATAAACAGCATGTCCAAATGAGTACAAATATGTATGTACACATACACACATGTGTATTATATTTCTGGAATGGAGTAGTGGCTCTCAGTAGTCCGGCGAAGTTGTACTTATTGCTTCGGACCATAGCTGCTCACATTTTCATGTAGTGATTCCGATGGCCGTCACTGATACCCGACAACCCCACTCTGGACAATCTATCACAGGATCGTTGAACTCTACCAAAACACTGGGTCATTCCAAACATAGTGAATCTTCAGAGAATCTGAGAGACCCGACTACTTCTTGCTCCATCAAACTATGAAAGGAGGGTCGCCACCCCATGTTACCACTCGTTTTGGATGCTCGGAAGCACCCTGAGCAAACATTTTGAGACCGTCACTATTTAAAACCCACCGACCTGAATTCCTGTAGGTTCCTATACCACACCATGGAAAGAACTGGAAAGAATCCCCCGCTTATACACTTGCATTGAAACAAAAAAAGCATCTGAAGATTGGAAAAAAGTCGTTCTCTTCTGCTCGTGACCTCCCAAAAACCTTCAGGAAGGGCACCTGGGTCCCTCCCCCGTCCCCAAACACTCCCGGCCTTCACCACCACCCGGAAGGAGTCGCGGGCATCGCCAGCGCGGCGCGCGAGGGCCTAGACGTGGTTCGCAAGAGTGGAAGGCCGGGGATGAGAAAGAGGGTCATTTCTGAGTGATCCGTAGAAAGGAATAACAAGAAGCTACTAGTAATAAGTGCATCGCGTCTAGTAACAAGTGCCTTACTAGTAATCAGTAACAAGAAGCTACTACAAAAGCAGTTGAAAATTATAGAGAATTCATGTGCCAATTTGCCCCATGATCTTGGAGAATGAAAAGCAGTTGAGAGTTGAGAGACCGACATAGTTTTTAGAGACAATCACGAATCTCCCTGGTTTTCTAGTAGCTTTGGAAGTGAATCTGTCAATTTAATCAACCATGTGGTCAATCAATGCGAGCATGAAATGTTTACAGGCTCTCTCTCTCTCTCTAACTCTCTTTCTCCCTCTGAAGGATGTGGCCTCATTTAGCAAGCTCAGGCTTGTTCCGCATGATAAATACTCTTCGGCCAAAAAAGAACAACGGGAACTATCCCGAAGCAATGCGGTGTGCGCTGTAGGCGCTGTGGGGTCCTTGTCAGCGTTCTCACACTAAAATATTCGATTTTGTTGGAAATGGTGGAAAGCACCATCGGGGGGGCGTAACGGGTGGTACGATTCCTGATAGAGGGAGGCCAGACCAAACTCAGAAAGAAATACCAGATTGTCAAGTGTCCAACAAGCAAAGGCACCACCGTTACGGCAACTGCACGACCCGCCACGAGTGCGGGATCAGGTACTTCTAGTAACTTCCGAGGTTTTTTTGGTTCGCCCCCAGAATCGGAGGTCTCCTAAATTCCAAACACCGCCTACCCCGAAACACCCGGACGACGCTCAGTGTCACCCCCCATCCGCTGAGTGCCTTGTACATCGAGGGGTCTCTGTATCCACACTCAAGCTGCCTGCAGTCTGACTGATGGTCTCCAGTCCGAATGACTTATGAGGGAGTGAACATCCCTCATAAGTAGCCCAAAACATTCCCATGCACACCGGCGCGGAGAATGTAACTCCTGAAAAACCGGAGGTCCGACACGCCCAAAAGTGGTTGGAGGCAACAGTCGGCAACAGTCGGCAACGTTCATGTGCCACGTCTGCCTCGTCTGCCAGCACTAGCCGTACTTCTTGGATGGTAGGGAAGTAGATGAAATCCGACCGTCCTACCGGTTGTCTTCCACAGCTCGAGGAGAGGCCCACCAGGTGGTCCGCCGCAGGTAGCCATCCTTCAGGTGGTCCTTCACCATCCTTCACCCTTGGTGAAGGACCATGTGTGTCCCCCAAGTTAGCTCCGACCCGCCAGGTAGTCCTTCCCCCACTTTGTGTGCAAAGGTCATACAGCACCCGGCCTGTAGGTCTTGCTGATGGCCTTCAGCCGAGTCGACCGAGTCATGCCGAGGTCGACCGAAACCCAGTGACCCATGGAATGGGGTCCAGTGGACCACTGGAGGGAGGGTGCGTTAGGGTTGGCTTTAAGGGTTTGAGGGTTTTAGGATGTTTTAGGGTATAGGCTCCACGCCGGCTCCATGTCCTGATACTTCTCGGACGTGTGTTCACACTTACAACAAGTGGACAGGATTCACGACCATGTCGGCTTGAAGATTGGTCTCGCCAACGATGTGTCCGGTTTGGAGCTGGTGGAAAGAAAGAACTCCAAACCACGTTCCAGAGGGTTGTCCGGTTTCCTGCGGACATGTGTTGTTTTTCTTATGGGAGGAGTGGTCGCAAACACAGCCATTCACTCCGCTCGAACAGGATCACAGCCATCTGCTGAACTCCAAGGGAGTTGAACCCAAAGGGTCCCCCGAAAAGAGAAATAAAAGACTGAACACCGAACACTCCTGATTCAGCCAGCCACCGATCACTCGGCCACCAATCGGCTGCCAAAGGGTCCCGTGCAGAACGACACATGGGTCCAGCAACTGCCAACCAATACAAAAGGTGAAATTCCATTGGCCGAGTTACGCTAGATAGACCCCAGATTAGAAGCCCAATAGCTCGCGCAATCTGGGGAATTCGGGTGATGCCTCATGCGTCGGACCCAAAACCTATTCTTTCTTGGGCAGATGAGGATGTCTCAGTCACCCACAGCTAAGCAGCAGTCGGAAACAAAAAAACTGGTCACTGAGACAGAATGGCACATGTTATATGGCCAGACGGGAAGACTGCTGCCAGACGGGAGTCATGTTGAGTCCAACTGGTGGCGAAAACTCATCAGATCTTGTGGCAAAGGTCCTAACACTTTCTTGTGCAACAAGAATGGTGGCAATGGTGGCGAACACTCACAGATCTTGTGAATCATAATCATGCACTTTCTTGTGCAGATCCTTTTGGTGCAACATGCAAGCACTGATGAAGCACCCATTTGTTTGGAAGTCGCGTTTAGATGCACATGTCCACTCGAGTTTGGGTCTCATTGCCAGTGATGCGGGTGGTTTTTTCGGTGACACCTCAAACAATCGATGCTTGAGCGAGATGGGCACCAGGCCCACAGGGGCCTCAATGCTTAGTAGATCACTCGAAAAGAAGGTGTTTCCCCTTTTTTGCAGTGCTACAACCGCTTCTTCAGCGGGACGATGTTTTGTTGGGACTCCCAAATACTTCACAGTTTGGTCCAATTGGAGCAAACTGGGTTTTGGTTCACCTGACTCCAAGGTCAGGACGAACCCCCTTCCAGTTGCTCCAAGACGCGCGTGTGGGCACGTCCAGATCGTTCCAGGTGTTCGTCAGCTCAATGAATTCGAACCTAGCGCCCGCCAACCGCCGGCACAAGATGGGTGCACTCAGGTGAGAACTTAGGAAGGTGAAAAGTCTCATCACTTGAAATTCACACTGCTAAGATGAGACTTTTCATCCCACCTCCCGTTTCATACCACCTCCCGGTGCATGATTCTGTACTCAAACCTGCTTCGATGGTCAGCCTGGACCCATCAACCCAAACAAGCAAGTCGATAAACTGATAAACGCATCATCTGCGCACAGCTGATGGAGGCAGTTACCTGGGCAGGTAACCTTCCAGGTTTGCTGACGGAGACAACCAACTCAAGTAAGGCCAAAGTGTGAAGAGTTTAGTCATTGACCTGACAGCTACAGCTGTGCAGGACTGTGACTATAGCCCACTACCTTGCAAATGGCATGGGACCTGCACCAAGGATTTTGGGGCACTCGGGCTGTGTGTCCTTCCCTCATTCTTCCTCAGCCCAATGCAAGAGCCATTCTGTGCCATGTTTGGAGGATTTTCCCTTTTCCAAAGTCCTTCTCGTTACTATTCATCGCCCTCACTCCTCGGCAGTCGCAAAAAGAGAATCTTCCACTGTGTGGTCCATTTCGAGGCAGACTTGCAGTGACCATCCAAGAACGTCCTTCGACACCCGGGCGTCCAACTGAGCCCCCCGGGCGTTCGACGATAAGCTTCATGTGAGCTGCCCATGAGGTCCATGGTCCCCACATGAATCTGCCAGACAGGTGCAAAGAGACTCAACATGTGTTTTCCATATAAAAGAAAGAAACGGCAGCGGTTCATCTGCCTTCAGAGATTCAGATTGAGTTCTTCATCAGATCTGGCCTGGACAAGCCTCCCTTTTCAAACGCGAAGTCTGGCAAGTCGCACGAATCTCAACCCCCTTCCTGGTTCTTCTTCCTCCGTAAAGTGCCCGGAGTCAAAAGCCTCACCTTCCAAAGCCAAACCCAAACCGGCTCCCCAACGGCTCAACGGCTCGCACCCGCCGGGCGAGCGCGGGCTTCAGGTGATCCGAGAAGGACTTCAGCGGACGCTCCACGGCCTCCTGTCGGACGCGCTCGAAACGAACGGACGCGGAGATCGCTGCAGTGCAGAAGAATGGACTCCTGACATCGGCCGAAGCAGAGAGTGAAACTTGATCGGTTCTGGCGTTGGACTGAAATTTGTGGCACTTTCTCTGAAGAATTCATAGTGTCCAATCCATGTCGAGCGAGCAAGCAGTGTCAGTGTCAGTGCTTGGTGAACCAAGCATTGCCTCCTCTAGGCCAAATAAAGCTTTCTTCTATATAGAACACAAATCTGAGTTGCCATGATTACCGACCAGCACTCAGGACCAGCTTAAAAGACCAAAAAGTGGTGTCATGCTCAATACTCTAGATTATAGGTGATTATAGATTCTTCTACAAGACCTGCTGGCTATTGCTGGATCCAAAAGGCCAACGACAACTGTGGGAAATCTTCGAAGCACCTGGAATCGACGCAGCAGCTTGGCCAGCTGCGAGGCTCCCTGAGCTAAGTGCGAAGAAGCTCAGCGCAGCGAGCCCGTCGACTGCAATGCAAGATACGAACATGGTCGAAACCACCGGGGTTGCAAATGAAACCATACAATGTCCCATTTGACAGACACCACCTGCAGGTGGTTTGGTCGGTAGGTACGCAAAGAACTGTCTTGTTTCCGCATCTGCGTGTACTGTAACTCTCAAGACAACGAACCCACAAAAAATTATGTTTTTTTGATCTGGCTTCCTTTTGCCCCTCATGTGTTTCCTTAAACATGAAACCTCAAAGCCGCTGGTCTTCCCAACGCTGCATCCTCCATCTTCATCCCATGCGATGTCGAGGGCTGCGCCATCCCCTTCTATGCGTCTTCTGTCCAAGTCCACCATCAGTACCCATCTGTGACTTGGAAAAGATCCCGTCCAGTAATGTAGAGTCTTGATTAACAAAACTCCCCGTTTGGCATTTAAAACCTCTTGATCTAGGGGGTTTTCATTCTTATATCATCAAGAGTCTACCTGACTCCTTCAGTTTTGCTGGAAAGAAAGGTTAACCTTTTCTACCTGTTCTCCCAAAAAAGAGTTAAAGGTTATCCACTGACTGGGTATTCCACAGCCTATGTTGGGCAAGGGATCAAAAAAAATAAAAATGCATCAAAAAACAAATATAGTTCTGGGTATCAAGAAAAAACAAAAATGAATCAATAAAAGAATAAACGGGCCCAAACGAGTGGAGGGAAGCGCAATAGTCCAACTCGAAGCAGTGATCAAAAGAAAAACAAAAACGCATCAAAAAAAAACTAAATCAACCTACACGGATACCTTGGATGGTCCTGTAGGGCCCTTGGGTCGAGACCAACCTATCCACCACAACGGTCGGCCTCTGCCCTCTGTGTTCTCTTCGAAATTGCCAAGAATTCAAAAGATAAGGTGTTTCAGGTTTTGGAGATTCAAGAGGTCACGGTTGAGAAGCAGGACGCCGACATCTACAAAGATCCAAAGGCCTCGACATCCAGACAGATCTAGTGTAAAGGTGTAGAGTCTAGAGACCTGGAAAATCTTGCAGAGGTTCAGATCCAGCTCTTCCAAAATTTTACTGGCGTGCTAGAATGGAATGGCTTTCTGCCCTCTAACCTTTACTACTGTACATTCGGGTGGCTCACAGAAGGGCGGCGCCGCAGCCGCGCACACGGATTCAACTCAACTGCGCACACACATTATATCGGCACTTGTGCCTCATCTGCGCACACACTTGTTAACTCAGCGTGCGCACACCCCACCATGGGGAGTCAAGTGCGCACACAGGCCCTTTCCCGAATGTTGCTGCGTATTCCAAATTTTACCCTGCGTTGCTCACTTAAAAGGGTAGTCAACTTGGAATAGCCACTTCCTTGTGTATTTTTTTACTCTCCAGTGGCTCACCAAGGGGTGAGTCAACTTGGAATGAGCACTTCCTTCTCTAAATTTTACCCCTGCATTGCCCACAAAGGGTGAGTCAAGTTGAAATGGCAACATCCTTCTCTAAATGTTACCCTCGGGTGGCTGGCCAAAGGGTGAGTCAACTTGGAAGGGCAACATCCTTCTCTAACTTTTTTCCCCTGCATGGCCCACAAAAGGGTGAGTCAAGTTGAAATGGCAACATCTTTCTCTAAATTTTACCCCTGCATGGCTCACAAAAGGGTGAGTCAACTTGGCATGGCCACTTCCCTCTCTAAATTTTACCCTCCAGTGGCTCACCAAAGGGTGAGTCAAATTGGAATGACCTCTTCCTTTTCTAAATTTTACCCTGCCCACAAAAGGGTGAGTCAAGTTGAAATGGCAACATCCTTCTCTAAACTTTACCCTCGGGTGGCTCACCAAAGGGTGAGTCAACTTGGAAGGGCAACATCCTTCTCTAAATTTTACCCCCACATGGCCCACAAAAGGGTGAGTCAAGTTGAAATGGCAACATCCTTCTCTAAATTTTACCCCTGCGTGGCCCACAAAAGGGTGGGTCAACTCGGCATGGCCGCTTCATCCCTCTCTAAATTTTACCCCTGCATTGGCCACAAAGGGATGAGTCAAGTTGGAGTGACCACTTCCTTCTCAAATTTTTACCCTGTGCGCAAAAGGGTGAGTCAAGTTGAAATGGCAACATCCTTCTCCAAATTTTACCCTCGGGTGGCGCAACAAAGGGTGAGTCAACTTGCAGCTTTCCTGGCCACTGCAGGCAGCACAGGTCCGTAAGCTGGCTCGCTGAGTAGCTGGCCAAATGGGGGATAGAACAGGAGTTCAAAAGTGGTCCTTGTTGTTGTGTGTGTCTTTCGGGAGATGCATCAAAAAATGCATTAACATAGAATACATGACAACACTTGCCATTGCAGGCAGCACAGCTCCGCAAGCTGGCCACCTACAAAAGCCATCGAAAACCAAAGGCAAAAGCCACCAAAACCCAAGAGCCACCAAAAGCGAACCTTCCTTCCTGCCCTGCTGCCTTTCTTCCTTCCATCCATCCTTCCTTGCTTCCTTCCTTCCTTCCTTGCTTCCTTCCTTCCTTCCTTCCGTCCTGGCTTCGTACCTTCCTTCCTTCCTTCCTTCCTTTCTTCCTTGCTTCCCTTCTTGCCTTTCTTTGTTTCTTTTCTTTATTTTTTTATTGATTCATTTTAATTTTTTCTTGATGCATTTATATTTTTTTATTGATGCATTTATATTTCTTTTTTGATGCGTCTCCCGCCTATGTTCATCTTCTTCTGCACCGTGGGCCATGAAAATCTACACAATCCACACGACGCTCGACTCGACGAGTCGTTCTTCTGGGCTTGGTCCCACCATCTGATCCATCTTCTTGGGCAACTCCGCGCGGTCCACCTGCCGGGATTTCCCGGTGAAAGGACCCCTTGGCTCGGCTTGGCTTCTGTCGACCGGCTGGCGCCGGTGGGGGGAGGGCGACCAAACAGGAAGAATGTGGGAGACAAAGGTGCGAAGACAGGCTAGCCGGCTAGCCGGCTGCCCTGTGTAGCGTCTGCGATCCTCGCAGACTCAAGACATGATTCGACCAATTTGTACCACCTGCACAACTGTGCACGAAGGGTTAGAGCACGATTCGGAAACTAATCGGTCGGATTCTGAAACTAGGGTTCTGAAACTGGGGTTCTGAAACTAGGGTTCTGAAACTTGGATTCTGAAACTGGTATTCTGAAACTGGGGTTCTGAATCCTACTGAAACTGGGGTTCTGAAACTAGGATTCTGAAACTGGGATTCTGAAACTTGTATTCTGAAACTGGAAAGTCAGATTCTGCAACTGGTATTCTGAAACCGGAAAGTCAGATTCTGCAACTTGCCTTCTGAAACTTGCAACTGGTGATCTCCACATCATGCGACAGCGTGTGTGCCTGTGACATCACCTTCGAAGCACATCCAAACCAACGTCATTAGCCCCCCACCCAACCCCCCCACCCCCCGACCCCCCCTTGTCCCCATCGTGTGATCTCGACATCACGCCAACCCCCTCATCATTCACAAAGTTGCGGAATCCTAGTGAGGGAGTCCACAATGTTGCGGAATCCTAGTTGCGGAACGCTAGTTGCGGAATCCCAGTTGCAGAATCCTAGTTGCGGAATCCTAGTTGCGGAATCTTGACAGTTGCGGAATCCTAGTTTCGGAATCCTAGTTGCGAAATCCTAGTTGCGGAATCCTAGTTGCGGAATCCTAGTTGCGGAATCCTAGTTTCGGAATCCTAGTTGCGGAATCCCAGTTGCGGAATCCGACCAAACAGTTGCGGAATCCTAGTTGCGGAATCCTGCGCAGTTGCGGAACTCGACTTTATCCGTGCACGAAGAGTACCTCAAACATTGTGAGGCATTCCTCACAGCTCCCAAAACATCCTCCATCCATGTTTCATCTCCTGCCCCCACGCGCTGCAGGTGCGCTGCCCCGCGATGCTCCAACGTCGCCCGCTATCCGTCTCCAGCCTCGGGACCCACCGTTTGGGACCCGAATTTGCGGGGCGGCATCCCAGCGGACCCGGCGTAGCATCCCAGAGGTTTTTGGTCCCAAAATCCAGTGGTTTTCTCAATCAATGGCACCAGGGACCCCGAGTAGATGGTGCTTTAGGTTGGGGGTTGTGCCGTCGACTCTCAAAACCGCCTACAGACTCGACCGGTTCTGCCTTTCTGGGTTCCCACGCACGAATTGACTGGATTCATCAACAAAACTCTTGGGGTTCCCATGAGGTTGAGGTGTTTTCACCCCATCCGCTGATGGTGCGGTGCAGGCCTCGTTCAGGTCATTGAGGCTTTGCACCTGGGTTCGTTGGACTGGACCCAGGACCACGAAGCAGGTGGTCCAGGTTTCACGTGGGTGGATGGGTGCCTTCATCATGGGGATTTCGTTCAGTTTATTGGTTTAGCTCCGCTCCATCCAGTCTCATCCAGTGGGTTTCACTGGATCACCTGACCAGCAGTTCGAATCACCAGTTCTTTCTGCTAAGATGGGTCACCGGTGCTTCTCGTTGACGTCCGGGGCCGGATTCCAACCTTCATTCACGGTTCTGCTGCACTTTTTTGGATGAATCATGCTGTGTTTCAAAAGGCAAATCAAACAAACGGAATCATGGGCTAGTGAGACGAACGCAGAGTCTCCCACGCAGGTTAAGAGCCTATGGCCCTGGGAACCACCCCGGGCGGCAAACTACAGCGGCACACGGCGGCACACACCACCAGCTGCCTCTCACCTTTGCGGCAGGGTCTTCGATCTGTTCTTGTCTTCACAAACCAGAGAGAACCGGAACCCCCAAAGAAACCCCAAGAGAACCGGACCTCCCATCCCCAGCCTCCCCCAGGTTCTCCTCCCGGTTGGTCGCACCGCGACGCGGTCGGGTCCCCCGGACCAAGGACCGCAGCCCCGCTCGCCACCAGGCGTGCGAACCTCGCTGCGTTCGGCTCTCGGTTGGGGGGTCGGGTCCGCGCGGCTTCACCTTGGAGGGAACCCTTCAAATGGCAGAATCTGGGCCTCAAAGTCCTCCGCACCCACGCCTCCAACAACTTTCTTTATTGCTCTCAGCTTTTCAAGAAATAGGTTCTTTCTTCAAGAGGCCCGCAAAGCCAACAGTTGCAGCGACCGAAAGAATTGCGCCAACTGGGCCACCCGACTCATTACCATGTCAATCAAATCTTTGTGAGGCGACTCTAACTGCAACCTGGCCACAAGATTCGACCATCAAGAAGGGCCGTATCTGAAGCGACCCCATCTCAGGGTAATCGACCCACTGCTGTCATAGTACAAAACTGGAAGTCCCTGTTCTCTACTCAGGATCTTAAGGTTTTGAAACACAGGCTCGCCAATAGTGCTTCTTGGACTCTTGGGTGAGGGAACAGAATGCGCAGGGCCACAGCACACCGTCCAACCAAATCACCGTTGCCCCATTTGGCGGTTCCCACGAGTTGGGGGTAAGCCATATATGTAGAAGAGCCGTGGTTCACTTCCATGTTGATTTCAGGTATATATAATATATGTAATCAGGACTCCATCAACATTAGTGAAGGATCTTATATAGGATCGTGAAGAGAATAATCTATTGTGGTCCCATATGCAACTGGGGCACCACCTTCCCAATGCTTGTTGGAGGCAGGGTAATTAAGGACCCCCCAATGCAGATGTCTTTGAACATTCGATGTCCTGGAATCTTCAACATTCCTGCACAAGCCGCAAAAAGTCTTTTCAATCGAGGGAACCCCGTTTCCCTTCACCGGCTCAGGTCTCTAATCTAGCAAAGTGACCAGGACCTCCCTGTAGCTCCGAACAAACGATACCGGAACCAAGCCGTCGCTCCCTCCTAAGCAGTCAAGAAGGTCAGTGGGTTCGACGGAAGACTCGGCACCTGTACTCGTCGGGCAGCAGGTCTTCCGACTCCATGGCGGCCGAACACATCTCCTTCACCTCGTTCACCTCCTTTTCCGGGCGGGATTTGCAAAAACTCAAAAAAACGAAAAGTCGAAAAGTGGAAAAAAGAAATGTGTAAGGTTCAAACCTGGAAACGTGTGAAAGGTCATAAACTTAAAGAAAAAATCCAGAATCCAATTTTGGTGCTAAGGTGCGTCAACAAGTGCCCCGAACGTGCAAGTCGACGGCCCGAACGTGTAAACAGTTATGGACTGGTTGACTTTGTGACGGCTTGTGGTCGCTTCGGACGGACCCCGGAGTTGAAGAAAAAACGACTCAAGGATGGTGCCAACGACCCTTGGGTATATGTAGAGAGACCCCAAGGCTTGACCTTCTCCAGACCGAGGGTTCAAGCAGGTTGAATACTGTAGATACTGGTACACACAGGAAGGAATACTTATCGGCCCTTCATTTCAGGTTCTGCCACGTTTCAGGCAGCACCGGGTTGGTTCATCACCAGACTTTGTAAATTGCTCTTTCAGATGCTCAAAGAATCATGCAGAAGAGGCAAGTTTGCACTCCCAATCCCCATCTACCTGGAAGGCAGCTGCGAAGCAGCCAAGGTGCCAAGGGGATGCGATGAACGGCTGGATCGGTGCTTCGGCATCGGGACCGCCGCCCAGGGCCTGGAGTGCGGGAGCTTCGCGGCCGGCCGAAGCCTGGCCTCGGCGGAGCGGTGCACCCGTTGGACCCCAGCCTTTGGGTGAAAAACCCTGTTGGACCGCTGAGCTGAGCGTTCATAGTTCACCCAAAAGTGGGAGTCAGCTTCCTTTAACAAACTCATGGCTGCCCTGCACAGGTTGTTGAAAATCTATAGGTCTGTTTTCTTCTCCTTGCACAAGTTTCTTCTTCTAGCAAGAAACACGTCGATGAGCCAGCTGGAGCCCTTGGCTGCTTTGCTGCGAACAAATAAAATTCACCAGTGGTCACCAACAGCTATCCGGAAGGCCTGAGCCCGTGAAGCAACTCCATGAGTTCCAAGCCAACAAAGCTTGCGACAGAAGTTTGATCCATTCTCCTACCCTGGTTTTTCAACTGCCGCAGCACAAATCCCGCCTGGCTCGAGTTTCTCTTCTTTGGCCTGTCAGCCACCGGCAGTTCAACAAGGTCCAGCAAAGGAAAGAAGAAGTGGCGGTCACCAACACACCCACAGGGCTGTGAGAGCGAAATATGGGAACTTAACCTTGCAAATGGTCCCACATGTTGTTCTTTGTGACCTGCGACAACGTGTGCCCCTCCTTCTCGTGGATTCTTTTCTATGTCTGCACTTGCTGGTGCAAACCATATCGACCGTGAAATCCCGGACCTCGTCGGCAAGAGTCGCTTCCTCCAACTGTTCCGGCTTGAAGTCACCAAGGCCTTTTCAGATTGGGCAAAAAGGAGTAGCTGGCGGCTGGCGATTGGGTTTTTGAACGCAACATGTTGACAGACGGGTCGACTTGACAAGGCTGTTTACCCGTCAGGCGTCAGCCATTGCACAAGTCATGTGACGGCTACAACTTGATGAGTGCCTTGAACAGTCCCCAGCTCCACCTTCTGTCTGTGATAAATCATTAAGACAGTTAAGAGTTGTGGTGGAATAAATAGGAGCCTTGCCTCTAAGGAAACCTTTACACAAATGTTGCTCTAAATAACTCTTTCCCAAAACCGGGCCTTCCAACTGTGCCTCGAGCTCAGCTTCGAAGTCCAAAGGGTCCCCCACGTCGCCGTCCGAAACCATCCTTGCAAGGTCGAAAAACTCCCCACGGTGCGACGGTGGGTGTGGGTGACATGTCGTACTCCAACCAGGGGTCGACAAACCGATCTGCTTGTGAAGACACCCTCAAAGAACCTGCGGCTTGTGTGAGCCAAGTGAACACCCTATGTTTCCCGCAATCTCTGTCTATTCAACGAACTGCAAGCCTCTGTAGACTACAAAGCACTGATACAGTCCATGCAGCTGTTAGCCCTGGTCTGGTACGATGCTCAATGCTAAGAACTGCCCCATCTATAGCTCCAACAGCAACCGGGAAAACCCCTGCTATTGGCGGGACGCGCAGGACATGCTGAGCAACCTTTAGGTTGTAGGGATGGGTTTCTGTCACTAGCCAGGAGACTCACCACAGATGTGATCATCGGCTCTACCATCTAAAGCGGACGGTTTGACACTCTCAAAGGGCGTACCTAGTTGAACAAAGCCACACGAAATGGTTGAATGAAATCCAGTCAGCCCTCAGTACTTGTTTTGACACACAGCCCGAGCAACAGCCTGCTCACAACCCTGTTTTTTTGGATGTAGTGATGCAGAAGAATCTTTCCATCCTAAAACATGTCTCACTGACCACAACAAGTTGTCACCTCCTCTTGAGCACAAGCAGGCCGTACAAGGACCAAACAAACCGGAATTCTGTCACCTAGCCTAGCGATCGGGCGACCACCCAATTCACCCTGCCAGCGTCCTCTCTAGAGTATCCGGCTCCAGCTTTGCACTGGATTTGGGAGAACTCGTCTTTGGAGAGCTTAGTTTCCGCGACTTCTTGGGAGAAGCCTCTACCTGGCGGAAATCCCCAGCTCTTCGGAAATGCAAACGAACCAGACCTGCTTAGCCATCTTGAATTTGGAAAGATCTGATTCTTTTGAGGTGCAGGTACTGCAAAGACTGCAACACTCTCCGGGCGCTTGGTGCCTTTTGCTTGCCGTGCAACTCCAAACAAGGTGACAAAATAATGTATATACATTCAGTGGTGCTTCTGGGCCGTAGACTAAAAGCAGCTGCCTCACCCTGTTCATCAACCAGGACCGCAGTTGTTTACATCTTTCCAAGCCCCATCCCCTCCCATGATCTCTGTCCTGGCCTTTGCGCGCTTTGGCGAGCTAGGGGGCTCCCTGGGTAAAATCCGACTCCAAGGACCATTCATTGCAATCAGGGACTTGTGTTGAAGCAAAGAGCATGTCCAAGTATCGTTCTTCACCTTTAACTGGTGCGTCGTTCGAGATGCTCTCCTTACCATTCTTGTGTATGTGCACAATTCACACCCAACTCAACAAATAGAAGTTATTATATCTATCTATGAAATGCAAGCCTAAAGCATCATCACAGTGCCAGCAACCCACGACACACTGGAGCATCCGGCTCCAGCTTTGCACTGGATTTGGGAGAACTCGTCTTTGGCGAGCTTGGTTTCCGCGACTTCTTGGGAGAAGCCTCTACCTGGCGGAAATCCCCAGCTCTCCGGAAGTTCAAACGAACCAGACCTGCTTAGCCATCTAGAATTTGGAAAGATCTGATTCTTTTGAGGTGAAGGTACTGCAAAGACTGCAACACGCTCCGGGCTCTCCAGGCGCTTGGTGCCTTTGGCTTGCCGTGCAGCTCCAAAAAAGAAGAGATACAAGGATACAATAAGAATGTCCAAAAGCATCTGTTCTGTCAACAGTTGCCCCAAAAATACACGATCATGCTTTGCCACGTGGCCTTCTTCTGCAGAGGTCCCCTTGCTTTAGGTATGCCACAAGATCAAGCACCCACCACAGCATTCCCAAGCACCTTCGCACGCTTTGGCGAGGTCGGAAGCTCCTGGGGCAGGACGAGGCCGGAAAGCCATGTGGGTGTGTCGTCCTAATGAGGAACCAACCACTGCGATTCTCAGATTCTCCGGAAAATCTTCTACAGTATATGTTATACATGTTCTTGCTATCTGCCCTCTGCCCCTGCTGGTCTCCGAAAGGGAAAAGAACCTTTTGGCCACCGTCCGCGTGAAACTCTGGCACGGCACCCAGTTCCTCGTCCTCGTCTCCATCGTCTCCTTCTCTTTCTCTCTTGCCCTGGACAGGCTGCCACCGTCGAAGCCGCTTCCACAGCGAAGCCGCTTCCAAATTGGAGTCTATTTGGAAAGCTGGTGCATTGAGGCAAGTCAACTATTGCACTGTTGGGAGTCACTCACTCACACTCCTCTTCGTCACTCACCGAGCGCGTCACTCACCCGCACGGCGAAGTCTAAGGAAACATGAAACATGTGCTGATCAATCTATATCGAATAATTGGACATTGGACGGTTGTTTTAAAGATTTCGATCATCGACTGTCTCTTGAAACCCCGTTGCAAAATGAAAACCTTCTTCCATTTCTCGTTGGAAGGAGCTCGCTCACGTTAGTCCGGCGGGTCCGGCGGACCTCGTGGGCCTCGGCGGCGTCCGAGGTCTCCGCGCAAGGCGGCGGGGTCCGGGCGGGGGTGGGGGGCCGGTCCGGATCTTGCGGGATCGGTCCGGATCTTTCGGGATCGGTCCGGATCCTCCAAGGTTTGGTGTCTCCACTGCGCAGCAGCAACCCCACGGGCGGGACCGCAGGCTAAGAGCATCGTGGCGCACCGGTGGTGTCCTGTGTCGTGTCGGGGATCCCCCAAGTTGGACTTTCCCAAACAACGGCGTTCCCAAACACCATACCCGGCCTACCGTCAGGAGAATTTGGGGGGCTCCGTGCCCACTGCGACATCGGGGCGGACGGCAGGACTTTGCTCCGGAAAGAGTGAGAAAACCTACTGCGACATCACCTGTCCACCAGTGCCGCCCACCACGGGGCCCGCCGCTGGGCCACCCGCACAGACGTGGCCGCCTGAAGGCGAAGGGGTTTGGGTTTAGGGCACACCACACGTCGGAGGTCCGGCCAGGCGTCTGATTTCGAAGTACCATGGTTGCCAACTGAGGCTTCTCGCCCCAGTCGAACTCGCTGCATCTTTGCTCTTGTTCTTCCAGGCCTCGTAACGTTCTTCCAGCTCGGCTTTCGATCCAGTCACACGCAGGCCCAAAGCTTTCAGCCTCGGGCTGGGTGGCGGGGGGGTGGAGAGGCATCAAACTGAACAGAAGATGCTGCAGAAACTGTCCCCCAAAGAACCTGCACTTGAAGAGACCAAAACACGGGTGTGAAACATCTCTTGACCAAAGAAGCAAAATCTATACTGAGGTCAAATGACTTAGGCCAAACGCGTAGATATTACATACAATTTTCCCAAGGAAAGGTCTAAGTCATGTAGAGGTGTAAGTATAAGATCCTACAATTTCAGTGGCAAGCATTCATGACATAGGCCATTCCGACCTGGTTCATCATCGCTTGTTTAGGGGGGTCCTTTTGCTGGAAGATTAGAGCTAAAAGAGAACATGTCACAGGAACGTCACTATGTTCTTTTCCTCTATGAAGTTTACCTCTATGCATTTTCGTTCTCAATCCCGAACTGTCTCCAATGTTTATCCATTGTTTAGATACCAAAGTCTTAAGCAATGACGTTTGTCAATGTAAAATCAACCGTATTGAAGATCGTTGGTGACAGCCTCTTGCATCTCTTATTTTGAGTTGTTGTTCAAATGTTTGCTTCATGTCATACAGTTTTTAGGACGCAGGGCACGACTTACCCGCATTAATTTTGAGGTATATTTCACAAGTTCTTGTTCATTTCACCTGAGTATAAGTCATGATCTTTCAAAATGTTTGTTTTTGTGTTGTTTTCCTCACCCTGATTCCAAACCCATGGGAAACCCTGAAAAAGAGGACCCGACCAAGAGGAATGATGCCCTTTCCAGGACCTTGCCATATCCAGGTTTCTCTGACTTTCCGCTTGAAGAGTTCAAGCCCATTGGCTTGCCCTATGCCCGACGCAGGGCCTCTGCCTCAGGTCAAGCACTGACAGCCCGCCACGAGCCCCTGGCCAAAGCACGTGGCCGCGTTCCCAGAACGATTCAACCGCTGCTAGCTGCTGAAGTCTACAAGTATGTAAATGTACTGTTGAAAGCTGTGACCAAAACAAACAACCAAACAGGCCCGTGCCATCGATGCCATCTACCTGGTGATTCTTCAATTCTCAGAGAAGTCCTCTTTGTCACGACCAGCCTCTGGCGGCCTTGGGCTTTGGATCTGCCAGAACCTGCACCCCAGACCGCTCTCCGCTGGGTCCATCACCCACCGTTGGGTTTCATGAGCAAAGAAGAAGGGACATCCTACATGGTTTTTTCCGTCCCGCATGCAGCTGGACGTATGCGTCACCCTGTGCTCCCACCCCGGAGGCCCAAAACTGGCTACAGCTGGGGCTCCGGTCCCGTGGCATTGCTCCAGCAGAAGGAGCCAAGGTAGAAAAAATTTGTAAATCATGCTTAGTGAATGTCGCCAAATGTGGCGTTTCTGTCATGTCGAACAACGTTTACAAGTTTTACCAACATCTGCAAAAAGCAACAAATGTGCCGGGTTCATAAGCCAAAGGTGGTCACCACTCCTGCATAATTGCATGCTGCATGCAAAATGTCAGCCTCTTTGTTTGGAATCTATAGCCCTTTTGTCACCTGCTGGACACCCGCGCTGCACTGCTTCGGGATGCAAACAGCAACACAAACTAGACGACGAGTGGCCCGAAAGCATTTTTCATCACGTAGGAAGTCAGAGTGTGAGTTATCTGTTAAGTGTTCAGTGTGAAGTGTTAAGTCGAGTGCGTTGAGGCAGTGTGTGGGTCTGTGTGTGTGTATCTATGTCTGTGTGTGTATGAGTCTCTGTCTGTGTGTGTGTCTCCGAGTAAGTTGAGGCAGTGCGTGGGTCTCTGTGTGTGTGTCAACCTTTTAAGAGAGCCGGGTGGTCGGGAGACATGACTCAGCTGCAGGGGCGCCAGAGCAGCTGCGAGAGATGACTCAGCCGCGAGAGATGACTCATCCGCGTACTAAAGTTGCACTGCAAAGTCGCCAGTTCTCAGCTTCCAGCTCCACAGATTGCTCCGCGTACTAAAGTTGTACTACAAAGTCGCCAGTTCTCATCTTCCAGCTCCCCAGATACTCCGCGTACTAAAGTTGCACTACAAAGTCGCCAGTTCTCATCTTCCAGCTCCCCAGATACTCCGCGTACTAAAGTTGTACGACAAAGTCGCCAGTTCTCATTTTCTAAAGTTGTACTAGAAAGTTGCCAGTTCTCATCTTCCAGCTCCCCAGAGACTCCGCGTGCTCAAGTTGTACTACAAAGTCGCCAGTTCCCAGCTTCCAGCTCCACAGATTACTCCGCGTACTAAAGTTGTACTACAAAGTCGCCAGTTCTCATCTTCCAGCTCCCCAGATACTCCGCGTACTAAAGTTGTACTACAAAGTCGCCAGTTCTCATCTTCCAGCTCCCCAGATACTCCGCGCACTAAAGTTGCACTA